TGGAGTTACCCTAAATATAACCCTACTTATAACCGACTTACTAAGTCCCCTGTTCCTCTAAGTAGGGGGTGGGGCCCACTTGGGTTCCTGACCCTTAAGGTTCGACTCAAGGGGGGGAGGGGGTTGCGTAAAGTGCTTAGCTTTGCCTTGCAAACTCCCGCGTACTTGCAGTAGAATGTAGGCTTTTTCTTTATTACACCTCGTTGAATCCAGACCCTTAATCCCTTAAAATCCCGTTAAATCCCAGGCCTTGAAACCTTAAACCCTAAAGCTTTATAGCATAATTATACTAAGGAGCCCCCCAAAATAGTATCGATAATTATTTAGGCCCCTATACTATAGAACACTTATAGTAACCCTTATAGTATATCCCTTTTAAGGAACCCTTTTTTTGGAACCCTATTCTGCCCTTTTCGGGCGCCTCGGAGGTGCTGGCGGTCATGGCCACTACGGCTCTGGCAGGGGCGCTCCTGCTGGTGCTTCTCTCAGGCGCGTCGGTGTTTAGGGTTTTAGGGTTTAGGGCTTTAGGGTTTTAGGGTTTAGGGTTTAGGTTTTAGGGTTTTAGGGTTTTGGGTTGCAGGGTCGCAGGGTTGCAGGGTTTTGGGGTTTTAGGGTTTAGGGTTCAGGGTTTAGGGTTAAGGGTTGTAGGGTTTTAGGGTTTAGGGTTTAGGGTGTAAACTAATAGTACTAGGATAGGGCTTCTGTACGGCTGTTGTTCAATGTTTTTCACGGTTCATGCATATTACAGGGTGTATATGTTTTGTTTCGGGTTCATACAGGCTCCGAGATAGTTAGAACAGAGTTTTGCTAGGGTTTAGGGTTGAATTGAAATTAGAACTGAGGGCCTATTCAGGCGTGATACTACAGGCACCTAGAACGGTTAGGATGGAGTTTTATAGGGGTGATGATCGGAACAGGGTCGTATATGGGGTGTATAAGGGCATTTAGTGTTTGAGAAAGGGCTCTTGTTGGACTTGAAAGAGTCTTTATGTAGGCTCATGTAAGGTCTGTCGCAGCTTCGTAGGACTTTACATACCAATATCAATTAGAATTGAATGTGAGGGACTACGCGAAGATGATGAAGTAGTCAGTATTCAGACCCCTATGCTCCAAAGGGCCCCTTCATGCAGAGTTCCTACTTGATTTTTTACAAACATTTTCAGTAAACCTTAAACCCCAAACCCTAATTAGTTAAGGGGGCTTGAGGAGTCTCTGTGTTCCTAGGAGGCTTGGGTCGTCCGTGGTACTTTGTGGCAGGTTTTAGGGCTTAGGGACCAAACTCTGTTCGAGATGCAACGAGCAGAAATTAAAGGATGCGGATCCCTCAAGACGATGGTCGCCCCAGCCCAGTCCTCTTCCTAAAATCGTTACATTGAGTGGGTTCCACTGTTTAACCAGTGCTTGGGACTAGATGCACGATTTGGCAATAACGGGGTCTAATTAGATGCTTTTTGATGTTACAGAATGAAGATGAAGTCGAAACGACGAAGCTCTGGGCCTAAAGCCCTTCACCCACCCCCAGCCTTGCTTCCCCCGAAGAGGTCGGCTACGCCGTTGCGAGGCTGGCCCCCTCGGCGCTGAACGTTATGGGGTTTGCGGTATTTTAGGGTTTAGGGTTTTTGGGGTTCAGCATGTAGTGTGTAGGGGTAGCAGCTTTACTAGAGACTCTTCTATTTCACGTACTGCGTGAGCTTTCAGGTCTGGGTTAAGGGGTTGTTTAGGATGTTCAGAAGTGTTCGGAGATTTAGGGAAAGTTGGGTGTTGTGCTGCAAGAATCGCAATCAGGTGTGTCGGACTTGAGGGGAAACGTTGCTGCAACGACGCCTCAAACCCGAAACCCTAAACCGACTGCAAGACTGTTAGTCAGATTCGGCGGTATGGTGTAATAACAGTTATGACCCAAATTCAGTGACTTGGTCAAAGTGCCTTAAGACGCCAATATCCCCAAAGTAGGGGTCCCTGATTGGAACCCTTACTCTACGACTGGAATATCCCTAAACCCCTAAACCCCTAAACCCTAAACCTACCTCTTCTTCAAGGGAAGATTTTATGGTCCTCTTGGTAGTGTCTTTCTCTCCGGCAAGGCGGCCGCCTGGTTGTGCTCATCCTTGCATAGTATAGAAGCCTGAATACTTGCCAATATTATTTCTTAGGGGTCCTTACTATCATTATGCGAATGATGAAGGAGCGGCCAAAACCCTAGTTCTTCTAGCTATTTCGGCCCCTACATTGCTACAGTACTGATCATGATTCTCTTTTCTTCTGGGAAGCCGAACGCGGTGTTTGTCAGGGGTTCGGACTTAGGGGAAATGGGACAGGGGGAGGTCCGTTTGGAACCGGTGGATAAAGCCAGCGTCGTGACCCTAAATTAAACAAGCCGAGCCCTAACTTTTAATTAAACCCCGAACCCCGAAATCCCTAAACCCTAAACCGTGGCTAAACTCCAAAGAAGAGCCCTGGAATGCTAAACTCCCTAAACTTTACCCCTAAACCCCAAAACCCCAAACCCTAAACCCTAAAACCCTAAACTCTGCACTAAACTCCAAAAACGCACGCCCCTAAAGCCCTAGAACTTTATAAGGGAAGCCCTAAACCCTAAACCCTAAACCCTGAACCCTAAACCCTAAACCCTAAACCCTTAACCTAAGGGAAGCCCTGAGCTCGGGCCTCCCTCCGTGCAGATGGAAGAAAGCCCTCGGGTAGACGAGGAGGCGAGGAAGCATCGGAGGGGTCTTCGGAGGGTAGGGCGTTTAGGGTTTAGGGGTGTAGGGTTTAGGGGTTTAGGGGTTTAGGGCGTTTAGGGTCTTTGGGGTTTAGGGTTTTAGGGGGTTTAGGGTTTAGGGGGTTTAGGGGTTTAGGGGTTTAGGGGCTTTGGGTTTTGGGGGGACGGCCAAATCCACAACAAGAGCTCAA